GTTCTCAAGCCCCGCCTGAACGCGGTGCTGTGCAGCCTGCTGTAGGGGACCCTGCTTCGGCAGGGGGGTTGGACTGGGTGCCCCCAGAGGTCCCTTCCAACCCCCACCATTCTGTGATTCTGTGATTCTGTAACGTTCAGCCAGGCGAGCGGGTGCTTGTGACGCAGCACGTATCTCCCCCACCCTTCGCTTCAACCCATCCCACCGGTTGTGTCTTTAGACGGCGCGAGCGTTCACGGCCTGGATGGGCTCATGGTCCCCTACCCCAGGATCCCCCAGCAGCAGCTGCTGCCCCTGGATCAGAATGGCTACAGCACAGATTTGTACAGACAAGGGCTGACGCCGCCCCAGCTGCCGGGAGACCACCTGCACCCCTACGGTTGCTCCACAGGACTTGGTTTTTGTGCTGAGCCTTTCTCAGCAGCTTGGTGAGGCCAGAGCCTCTGAGCTCTGCTAGGGGCCGGGGAGCGAGGCTGGGGTCTTCCCTCCATCCACCGTGAAACATTGGGGTGAGGGAGGAAAGAGTTATGCCTAAAGCTGGTCTTGTGTGTGGGGCTCACCTCATACCAGCCCTGCTGACCACAGCTCCAGGTAAAACACGGCCCTGCTGTCACCCTTCTTCTGTCCTGCAGCTCCCCATGAGACATGCTCACACCATGTTCATGCCACGTTCACACTCGTCTCCTTTTCCTTCCTCTTCCAGACTCAGAAGGAGTTTTTCACGACATGGACAGTGACAGCATCAGCCACCTGGGAGACTGCCTGCTGTCCACAGCTGAAGCCAACCTCCTCCAAGCCCGCGTGGGCAACCCCATTGACCGACTCTACTCCATGCAGAGCTCCTACTTCACGTCCTGACCATAGAAAAGCTCCCAGCTCTTCACGAGTATCGCGGATGGATGCTGCTTCAAATTCGGAACGAGGGTGAGGGAGAAGAAACAAATCTGAGACCTTCAGAGACATTCCTTGAGCACTGCACAACGGAGGAGGCAACTAGGTCCGCCACACATATAAGCACTACTTCATGGAGAACTTCCACGGCCTGAAGGACTTCGGATCACCTCTCTCCTTTTTTCTAGCCACGAGTAGATCGATGGTACGATGTTGTTTAGCTGTAACTTTAGCAGTTTGTCCAGTGTTTAAGCTTTTGAGCATTATGTCCTGCAAACAAAGACTGGCCAAGCTGACCAGAGCTGCCCCTAGAAGCAGGAGGTGACACGAACTCGGTTTATTTAAGTCTTGGTTGCAGCTGAGCTGCTCGCTGTGCGGTTTCGCCTCATTTCCCAATCCAGATGCAGACTTCACGGGACAAGGTTAATTTTCAACAGCGAAATCCAAGGTCCTGAGGCATCTCTAAGGGACGCCACTGCTGCTCCAGAGACTTCTACGTGGCTGTCGATCAGTCGGCCCAGGACAGTTTTTTAATGTTTGACATTTCAGAAGCGCACGGTAGTTTGGCCCCTGATTGAAACGGCCACGCTCGGGTATCTGCTTCGAGAATCAGCAGAATATTTATCCTCTGCCATGTTCAAGGATGCCAAGAGCAGTGTAACACACCCAGTGAGTTCTCTATCACCTTTATGTCCGTTTGTCTCTAAAAGAGCAGTTTTACTCACTTTCTGGACAGAACACAGACTTATTCTCACAAAACGACAGCTGCCAGCCACGCTAATTTCTGTTTGTTTGGTTTTTTAAAACAGCAAAGCGAAACAATTTTACTCTAAAAATATTCCTGCTAGAAAGCTCTTCCTCTGTAGGTCTGTCCTACAACCTACGTTTGGTTTTTCGCTTCGAGGGCAACCCAGGGGCGACATCAGGACTCGGCCAAGAGAAAAGCACGTCTCCGCTGTGGGTAGGAAGGAATAATCCGTTTTCTCTACCCACCATCACGCCACGAGGCCGGCGAGTTACGAGCAGCACGTGGGCACCAACACGTGTACCCACAAAAAGGGCAAGAGCGAGAGAACAGAGACTGGAAGTCTGAGTTATTACCAAAGGGAAATTCTTCACTCTCCTGCCTAGGACCCAAGTCTGGGATTTGGTTCTTTATCTACGTGAAGGACAGCCGGTATTCCTGGAAAGGTCAGGTTTTCCCAGGAGCCTGCTTACAGCATGCCAGCCGAAGGAGCACGGTCCTCCAGAACTAACCTTCCCTTGTCTATGTGAACTGAACAACCAGTTCCGAAAGGAAACGACTGACTTTTAAACCTCCAGAGCTGCGAGTCCAGCGGTGCGACCCGAGAACTTGGCTGACTGATGTTTCTGTATGCGATGTTTTGCTTCTAAACCTCCCCAGGCTTGTCGGTCTGATTTTAAAGGTGTGGAGCCTTTCAAATGAAAAGGTGAATTTTTGTTGTCTGCGGTTACGGAGGAAGATTCCCGGTAACCACATAATCCTGGATTTGGGGATGAAAGGAGATGCAGTCCTGGTGCGTTTTGCTTTCCACCCGGACTTTCTCACCTTCCCGACCACTTATAGAGAATGGACATAAAGAAATGATGTGTAACAGAACCACAGCCCTTACACAGATCGCTCCACCGTTGCTTCACCCTTAATAAAGCTGTGTGAACGTGCCACGTGCTGATGTGCAGTCGCTTCCCGCTGGGTTTCCAGGGCCGCGTTCCGTAGCTGGACTTGCCTTTGCTCTCAGTGTCAGACAACGTCCCTCCCCAGAAGGCAGCTGTGTACACAGTTTGCAGATATTTCTTTTGATGAGGGAAAGGGGGAGCCTTTTGCAGAAACAGCTAATTATGACGTGTGTTTGCCCAGATAGACAAGTTCTAGACCAAGCTGCTGCGGTGGGGTGACTTCCACCTTTGTGGTGGGGTCATCCACCCCTCAGAACCCGAACGGAAAAACTCCTCGAGCCTTGCGTTACCTCTAGAGGCTCTGGCACTAGAGACAGGCTCAGTTTAGATGAAGTTTTAAGAGAATGTTACAGTGAACTATGTGCAGATTGATGTTTCTCCCAACTACCAGAGCCAGCTTCACCCACTGACACCCCACCCTTCCTTCCTTGTGATCCAGTGCTGTGATGTGCCAATGGCTTTTTATTTTTATTTTTTTTTGCATGTACATTTGAAAATAAAAAAAAAACCCAAACCAAGTGGAAATCTGAAGCTTGCCTCAGCACAGTCAGACGAACCGCACGCACGAGCAGTCAGCCGGCTCCCCGCGGTCCCGCGAAGGGTGGCCTGGGCTCCTCAGGACAGCCCAACCGTTCCCCTTCCCAGGTACGAGGTATCCTGGAGCAAAGGAGCAACGAGCGCTGGTGGCTGCTCATAACGGGGTCAGCAAACTCAATAGCAGGAGTGACAGTCACGAGAGGAACTAGAATCCCAAGGTGAATAAATAAACACGGTGAAGAGCCATGCTAGACTTGGAGCTACTCCTGCAAAGGAGTCTGATGGTAACAAGAGAGTTCAAGTAGAAGAGCAGCTGATGAGATTCATACTCTATGGTTCAGCAAAGAAACAGAATCACAGCATCACAGAATGGTAGGGGTTGGAAGGGACCTCTGTGGGTCACCTAGTCCAACCCTCCAGGCGCTCTCCAATTTAGAGTCCAGATTCTGCCCGAAACGAAAAGGGAGAAATCCAAAAGGCAGATGTCAGAACCACACTGTCAGACCCCGAAAGCTAACGGGCTTGCCAAGCAAGTCCTGCTGCTGCTCTTAGCGAGGGACAGAGCTGCTCCTAGCATCAACAGCCAGGTATCAGAGTCCAGCGACTGCGGGCGAGTCCACTCCCAACCGTATCTCGCAGCTGGAAGTCTTCTTGCAGGGACAAGAGACTCCGGGAGACCGCGACAGGAGTGCCGCAGAGCGCTAAGTGGGACGAGGCAGAAGCAGCTTTGTGTAAGGATGCAGGAGGGGCCACCAGCGTGTGGGGGGGAGCCCCCCCCCAGCCGTATCTCGCAGCTGGAAGTCTTCTTGCAGGGACAAGAGACTCTGGGAGACCGCGACAGGAGTGCCGCCGAGCGCTAAGTGGGACGAGGCAGAAGCAGCTTTGTGTAAGGATGCAGGAGGGGTCTGAGCCTTTGGCAACCCAGGGCTGTCAACGTGCATCCCAAAGCACCTATGGACATCAGGGAATTGTGTCTCACGGCTATCGTAGGACTTGGGGAATGTGTACTTGAGAGAAAATAATCGCAGCAAGAGGCTAAGCTCGCTCCGCAGCAGCGTGAAGAACAGAATCACATGCACCTCGAGCAACACCCACACTTTTTGGCTTTCCCTTTTTTGCTCTGCATGGTCAAGAGGCAGCACAATGGCTCCCACCGAGCAGGGAGGTGCGGGTCCTGGGCTGCGGCACGCCAACGTTATCTGCTGAGCAGGAGGGCCGGGGAAACGCCCGCCGCTCTCCGAAATGCCCAGATCTGCTTCTCTCCTCTTTGCAGACAGAGGAGAACGAAGGTGAACGAAAGCGAGTTGAGGTGACAGACTGACCACGGGATGAAAAACGCTCCCCTCTGCCCGCCACGATTGCCCTAGCGCTCGCGAGTGGCTCAAAAACTCGTCTGGATGACAGCCAAGGAAAGCAAATGTGTGTGTGAATGGAATGTGGCTCTGCACAGCTCTCTGCCCTCGACAGTTGCCCAGTTCAGACCCGGGCCTGCCAGCAGCACTAAATCTCTCCCTGTGACTGCAAACACCAAAGGAACACGCTGATTTATGGTTCCTTTAAGTAAGAGAAGCAGAGTGTAAAACGAGAATATTTTCTGGATGAAAAATTAAAGAGCTCTTTTTGTTAGTTCCTCATTCTAGGATCATGTGTAATTTACCTTATTGGTTTTAAAGTTCCACTTGAAAGGAAAAGTGACATCAACAGGAGCTAAAGCAACAGGCTGAAAAAAGTCCTGACACACTTAACTTCACTTTCTGAGAGATCTAAACCACGAAGAAATGGAGGAAAAACAAAGCAGAGAATTAACCAACCTAATGATCCTTGGCTTTCTCCTAGTCAAGGAGCTCAGAACTCCCTGCATGCATTAATTGATTACCCCTCATTACTCCCCAGCCCAGTAGGTGTTATTTATTTCAGAGATGAGTAAACAGAGACACCGAATGTGTTAGGACGAGCTTCCAAGGCCACACAGAAAGACAGTGGGTAAGTTAAAATAAAAAAACCCTGACATCCAGTTTGCTTAACTACCAGGCAAAATGCACATCTGACTGAAAACAAGAGTTGAGAACCATGACAAGTGGGGAAAACATAGAACCAGGAGGTGGAAACCAAGCAGAGAATGGCAAAGCCCACGCCAGAAGACAAGAAACAGGACTACAGTGACACAAAAAGGGTGTGAATGAAGGGTCCTTCACAATAATTAACCCCCCAGCGAGAACGCTTACACAGGTCTGACACTGCTCGCTCAACAGTTCCCAACCATCCGAGAACTTGCTCCTTTGGGTTCTTCTCCTCGGTCCTGCAGGGTTTTAGTGTTTATTTCTGGTCTGGTGTCGGTTTGGGACGATGCGGGAGGACCAATCTATCCGAGCCCTGCTCTAATTTGTTTTTTTTTAACCCTGAGTCTCCCACTCTGGGAAATACGGGCTTCTGCACTTACTGATTTCAGCCACTTGGCGTGAATTCAGCTGAACCTCTTCGCAGCCTTTGGAGATAAAGCTGAACCTACCAGTTTAATTGACTGCTGAGGACTTTTTCCCCCTTGTTCAGCTTTATGCCCGCAACCGTCCTACTTCTAACGGCTTCTGGCACTTGCTTCCACGAGCCTGTCCTAACCAAGCTAAGAGGTATGAGTAACATAACCCCGTGGCACAAAAAATTCAGAGGCGGCTTCCCAATTCTTGTTTCGTTCTCAGGCTTTCAGAGGTCTCCTTTGCCAGCTCACACCTCGT